ATACACAACTCTGGTGGAAGATTCAGGAAAGAGGTCTGGGCTAGACAAATACATTTGGAGTCACTAACCTGTGTATAAAGTCTGAACTCAGGAAAGTGGATGACACCACCAGTGGAACACAGAGAGAAAAAGATTAAAGAGCAAGCCCTACAGCATGCTGATTTTGGGGGGCTGGGGGGGAAAAGGAGCCAGCAAAGAAACCGAGAAGGAATGATACAGAGGCAGGAAGAAAACCAAGACAGTATGATGGTCCTGGAAGATAAATGAAGGCAAACTGGATAAAGAGAAGCTTTAAAAAGTTAACCTAGTGGGACCAGCACATAGTATAATGGTTACATGCTGGACTCCCACATAGTCAACTGTGGTTCGAGTTCCTGATCCAGCAACTTAAAACTCACACCGGGTGCATGGTGTGTGTGTGTCCAAGATCCCAAGTAGAGAATGGAGGAAAAGGGGTTGCAATATGGCCATCCCCCCAATGGGTGATTTCTCTTGCTTTCTTTCTCTCTGTCTCTCTCTGTGTCTCGGGAGAGCACATGTGCCCTACAGCAAAAATCTCTCAAAAAATATAGTTAACTTAGTCAGCTAGTGGCAAAATAGTCAGGGTGGATGTATCTCACACAGACAACCGCGAGGTTTGAATCCCAGACCTGGTGGCTTGAAAATCAAGCCAGGTACATGTGTGTGCATGCCCCCAATCCCTGGGGTGCAGAGAAGGGATTGCGGCATGGCCATTCCCCCAGGGAGAGGAGCACTTTCTCTGTCTCTGTCTGCAATGCTCATATGCTCTCTAGGAAAAAATAAATTAATCTAGAAAACAAAACAGTATAAAGGGGGCTACTCATAAAAACTGAAGCAGCTTCTACCAGAAATAGTTTAAAAAGTTAGGCCTTACATAGACTCATCTACAAGATTTACACCCTTGTAATGAAGATCATGAGTGGGAAGGCCAGAAAGAGAGGTCATTTGAAAGCTGCTAGAAAACAATTATGATTCTTCTCTTTTTTTGGAGAGATTTTTGCCATAGGGCACATGTGCTCAACAGAGAGACAGAAAGCAAGCAATCACCCCCCAGGGGGGATGGCCACGCCACAATCCCTTCTCCTCCATTCTCCTCTCGGGATCTTGATTACACACGCACACGCACACGCACTCAGTGTGAGTTTAAGCCATCGGGTCCAGGACTCGAACCTCATCGACTAAATGGGAGTCCAGCAACATAGACATTATGCCAACTGCTGGTCCCATGATTCTTCTTCTTCTTATTATTATTTTTTTTTTTGGAGAGGTTTTCACTATAGGGTGTGTGCGCTCGCCAGACAGACAGAGACAAAGAGACAGAAAGTGAGAAATCAACCCCCCAGAGGGGATGGGCACGCCGCAATCCCTTCTCCTCCATTCTCCTCTCAGGATCTTGGGCATGCACGCACACGTGCCCGGCGTGAGTTTTAAGCTACCAAGTCCAGGATGTGAACCGTGGTCAACTACGTGGGAGTCCAGCGACATAGCCATGATTCTTCATTTTTAAAAGTCAGCTACAGAAAGACAAAACCTCTTTCTTTGCAAGCAAGCATACATATTCTCTTAAATCATATCATGTACAGTCCATAAAGATCTCAGCACACTTAACATAGCCATGACAGCACTTTGTTATACTTTAGAATCTTCAAAGAAGACCTAAATTGATAAGTGATTTCCTTAGTTGATCAAGAATCCAGTTTGAACACAAAATATCATGGTCGAGGCTTAACTCTAATGCTCTAAAGCTTTTTAAAATCACTTTTCCAAAGGAATATCATCTTTCTCCTTTGAATCTTCTATCACTCAATTGGTATCGCACTGTCTTAAAATAATTCCCGTTTTTATGCCAGAACTTGAAGAGATACTTTATATACATTTTCTCTCATTTTTATAATAACTCAGCAAAACTGGGTTTATCTCTCTTTTATAAATGAGGAAACTAATACTCAGAAAGAATGCCCAAGGTTATGTCACTAGTAAGGCATGAAATTAGGATTTAAATACAGATTTATTTGGGCCAGTAATGGTTAAAGCGCTGGACTCCCACATGGCTGATAGCAGTTTGAGTCCCAGACCCGACAGCTTGAAAATCACGCTAGGTGTGTGCATGCATGTGTATACCCCAAATCCCAACAGGCTGAAGGAGAAGGGATTGCAGCATGGCCATCCCCCCCATGGGTGATTTCTCACTTTCCCTCTCTCTCTCTTCAGTGAGCACATGCACACTATGGCAAAAACCTTATTCTTATTTTTTTTTTTAAAGGTCTTATTTCAGTCTTTCAGAACTTTTACCTTTTTTTATTTTTTATTTTTTTGGAGAGATTTTCACTATAGGGTATGTGTGCTCGCCAGACAGACAGAGACATAGAGACAGAAAGCAAGAAATTACCCCCCAGGGGGGATGGTCACACTGCAATCCTTTCTCCTCCATTCTCCTCTCGAGATCTTGGGCATGCACACACACGTGCCTGGCGTGAGTTTAAGTCACCGGGTCCGGGACGCAAACTGCAGTTGACTACATGAGAGTTCAGCGACATAGCCATTATGCTAACTGCTGGTAAAAGTTCCCAGAACTTTTACCTTTTCATCACTGTACAATACTGCTTCTTGTATAATACTATGATAGTAATTATCATCAATCACTGTCCCTGTGACTCTGAGCAAAGGCTTGAGTAAGCTTTTACTCTCCCAATGCCTCAGTCTTCTCATCTATAAAACAAGGGCGACACATCACAGTATCACATTGTTGTGAAGATTAAATAAGAGGGTATACATAAACGTGCTCTATAAACTATAGCAATTTTAAAAATGACATTTACTAGGTTTCATGCTCTTTCAGAACAAGTACGCTTTCCAAGTATGTCCCCTTCAATAGTCTATAAAGGGTTTAACATAAATTGGACATCATCTACTAGTCTTTGAACGGATTTGAGACACCTTTTCTCCCTCTGAGAGGAAACTGGCATCCCATTCCACGAAGCCTGCGTTGAATATCTATAATCCAAATTTTGAATTACATCAACGTGAAAAACTCAGTGCACCCACTAAAGACAAGGTTTAAACAGCCTGCATGGCATTTAACTGGTGTCTCCTCTAAACTGTGGCTTTCAGAAACACCCAAAGAAATATGTCAACACATTGTGTAAGAAATCATGCCTGGATGGAGGGAGAGAAGAAAAAAGGCAGTTTGGTAACTGAGTTAATAGAGACCTTACCATTCTGTGCACTCATTTATCGCTTCTGATTACAATAATATCCATAATACTAACTTATCACCCACCATGAAATTTGATGTACCTTAAGAAAAAGACCAATAGCAAGTATATTACATTTCCTTACACATATTCATTTCTCCCCACTAGATGGGTACTAGTGGTATATCCAAGAAAGTGGCCCAAATGCCACTGAATTTAAAAATGTAAATTTTAAGTATACAAACAAATAATTAGACAGTCACCTACCACTTGTCCTTTGGTAAATGGCTCGTACTAGTGATGCTACAATACTGATTTCTCCAGATGTATTCACCTTATAGTACCAAAGAGAATTTTAAAAAGAAAGAAAGAAAAAATGTCTACTCATCTTTGAAAAAGGAAACAATAATTTTTGTTTTTTGACTACAGAAGCTATGGAAGATATAAATTGGTAAAGTTGACCCTTCCAAAGTAAGTCTCTACTCCAACAAAAATTAGCTTAGATGGTTCATATATGTCTCCCTAAAAGTGTGAGATAGATGATCAGATTGGGATGTGGTCACATAGTCCACGTGTGACAAGTCACATATGAGGTCCCTTTGCCTAGTACCTCTGTCTCTGGAAAATGCCAAGTGGCTCAGAGTGCTAAAACATAACCCTTCCCCATGTCTCCCAACTGGTCATACCAGTTGCTTCCTCACCTTCCCTGGCAAAAAGTGGGTAAGGAAGATTGAGAAGTAAAAATTACTCTTAGATCCAGGACATACCTACCGTCTTTCTTCATGTTTCCTTCGCCTAATTCCTTTCTGGACTAAGCATGGGAACCCACAAAGGCTTGATGATGTAGTGATTAGCGGATCTCTTGAGCCCAATCTCTCTTTGAACCCTGTTACCAACTTTCAATAGAACGTTTTAACTGAAGGAAAATTACATGAATGCCCAAAGTAGACAGTAAGCTAAGAAAGATTCAAGTGTACACGCATCCTGCACAAACAGAAGAAAAATGTGTGCATCATTGTGTTTACTATTCATCATTCATATGGACCTGTAAACACATTTTTAGCAAAAACAGAAAGAAAAAAGGAAGAAACATAATGAAACTTTGTGAGTACATTTTGCCTTGGGCACATACTTTAGACACTAATTAATTTTGTTTTAATTATAAAAGAAGCTGAATTTTGCCTTTGAAATAGAAATAAGCAAAAGAAACTTTTGAGCACTTGGAATCCTAATTTCCTATGAAAGCTGAGCTCTCTTACCACATGAGTAAATCGTGTAACATTTCTCAAATGCTCCTCTGAACGGCATTCCCGTTCCCTGCGGTGTCCCACCAGTAGATTTGCTTCTGTGTGTCAACGCTATTGGCTTTTTGGCTAATGATCTCATTTCGGCATCCTACATAATTTATCGATGTTGGCAATATTGCTGCGCTAGCTTGGTCCCTGATTAAGGTGAATAAGCCACCTGAAGAAAAAGTGACTTAGCAAGTATTTCATATTGATGTAATCTGTTCCAAGAGCTTAGCCTTCTTCTTTTTTTAAATTGTTCTTGTTTGTTTAGGTTTAGGGCTTTATTTTCATTACCGAAGCACACAGACCCAGATGTCTAATGGTCTGATGGATCTGTTGACCTTGTCTAGAGAGAATGTTAACGTCAAGAGTCCCTGAACTATAAAGAGAATGGCACTGGAGGTCAATTTCAACCTCATCTCTCTGGGTCCTTTAAGAATTTTTCCATATGAAGTAATACAAGCCATTACCAGCCATGCCGAAGCAGCATACTCACCAAGTGAACATAAGGCACAAAGTATCCGAACAGGGCAAGAGGTATCCCAGCTGCCCACACCGCATAAGCCGTCACCTTGAAGATGGCAAAATTGAAAATTCTGTTTGGAGGAGTGAACTTTCTCCTGGAAAAGAGGGCGAACCTGCCGCTTCCTTTGCTTCCACTCTCTTTGTCTTTGGCACTGGAAGTGAGAGGTCGGTACGTAAAGCCAGCCAGAAAGAGAACAAACATGAAGATGCAGAGCACTCTCAGTGTGTGGAAGAGGCCCACGTGGTCAATCAGGACCCTTAAAAGGAACGGCAGCAAAATTGTGAAGACACTGCTGCCGGCGGTGACAATGCCGTTCACCAGTCCAAGGCGCTTTTTGAAATAGTGTCCCAAAATGACCAATGAAGGCTGGTATGCAAAGGAGCACCCGCAGGCAAATATGATTCCATAGGTAAAGTACAGAGGCTCGATGGAACTGTAAAAAGATGAAAAAGACGAAAGAAGCTTTCATTATTTTTAGCACGTGCATGGTAGAATAAATAAAACCTTACAGTGAAAGTGGGTTTGAGTTAACGTTATATTCGGCAAACAAAAATTTACCAAAAGCAGAGGGGACAAATTTAATAAATCAAGAAAGCATTAAAATAATTTAATCTGGAGGTCAGCAGGTGGCATGGTGGTTACATCCCTGAACTCCCACATAGTTAACTGTGGTTCAAGTCCTGGACCCGGCTACTTAAAACTCACACAGGGTGCATGTGTGTGCTTTTCCAAGATTTAAAGAGGAGAATGGAGGAGAAGGGATTGTGGTGTGGCCGGATGATTTCTTGCATCCTGTCTTTCTTTCTTTCCAGCAAACACACACACCCTATAGCGAAAATCTCTCTTAAAAAAAAAACACTGTGCTCTCTGGTCAGCAGGGGTATGGTAGTTAGGGTGATGGATTCCCACATGGCTGACCATGGTTCTAGTCCCGGGACTTGGTGGCTTAAAAAAAATCACAAAAATAGATAGATAAATAAATAAATAAATGATCACAAAAATAGATAGATAGATAAATAAGTAAATAAATGTTAAAAAAAAAAAAAAAACAACCTGTTTTTTTCACAGCTCAGAAATCAAGGTCAGTGCCAGGAAGGGCCTGAGTGAAATCAACAGTGATAAACTAAAAACAAAAAAAGTCTAGTCTCAGTAAAATGTTCTAAAAGTTGAAATTTAACTATGAAAGCTCATTTTTTAAGTTGAATTTCCCCAGAGATACTTACTAAGCGATTTAGTAAAGAAAAGGCTACACTCGGCATTTTCTCGCCAAGGACCTGTCAGGCGCATTTGCACAGAGGCCCGTTTGCCTCGTTTTTTTGCTGGCCTCAGGGCTGTGGACCAACCTTCGCCCTGGATTGCGCTGTTCCCAGCATTGTGCAAGACGGCAAGAAATCATATTTGGTTGCAGAAAGACTAAATCAAGTGTATTCATTAGTGACCCTAGTTTATCAGCTTTAAAGCCACATATGTCTTAATAATAGAAGATTTAAGCATTTTATATTTAGGGACCAGCATTTGGCGTAATGGCTATGCCGCTGGATTCCCACGTAGTTGACCATGGTTCGAGTCCTGGAACCGGTGGCTTAAACTTACTATGGGCACGTGTGCATGCGTGCCTAAGATCCCGAGAGGAGAATGGAGGAGAAGGGACTGCAGTATAGCCATCCACGCTGGGGGGTGATTTCTCATTTTCTGTCTCTATGTCTCTCTCTGTCCTGGTAAGCGCAAAGGCCCTACAGCAAAAACCTCTCCAAAAAAAAAAAAAAAGGGGGGGAGTTTTATAGTTTGGCCAAATAACTTCACTGCACATCTCTTAGGAAGGTAAAGTATCATATCATTACATTTCTTGAAACAATTAAAAAAGTAAAAGAAAACTAGCTGGCTTTTTTTTAAAAATCCAATTCTAAAGGCTATTTATCAGTAGTAAAGGCAAACAATTTATTAGAAACTAAGAAAGATAAAGCTGGTTAATAATTAAATTTTGGACAATGCTAGTCTAGCACTGTGCTGAGGTAGTCACAAGAAACTCTAGAATCTGATAAATTAAAGCATGTTGGCAGTCCTTTCTCTAAGGTCCCTGCCCTCCCCCCACACACACACTAATCCAGTTAGCACCATCTTCAATTCAGGCTCAAGAATTACTTCTAGGTTTTCCTAGGGCAGCCTCGTCTTACTCCAATTACCTTTTACTGAATCTCCACTCTTCATTCAACAAATATATGTGTATATGTATACACACACACACACACTTACATATGTTTATTTGCCATAGGCTTTGTGTGCTTGCTGAAGAGAGACAGAGAGACAGTGAGAAAGTGAGAGATCAGATCCCCCACCACCGGAAGTGGGGAGGGATGTGCATGCCACAATCTCCTCTTCTCCATTCTCCTCTCAGGATTTTAGGCACACACACGCACACATGCTCAGTGTGATCTTTCAAGCCACTGCGTCTGGGACTCGAACCATGGTGGGACATATGGGAGTCCAGCACCTTAACCACTCTGCAACCTACTGGCCCCTAACAAACATATTAAGCAGCTATTATGTACTAGGCACTTGGTGAAAAAAATATTGAAAATGTGGGTCAGCCTTCAAACCACCATAGTGTGCTTAGTGAAACAAGATATCCATCCAAAGAAGAAAATAAAACAAAATCCCTTAAACTAATACTTCATTCTGCTTCAGTTTTTCCACATTTAAGTAGTTTCTCAGATAACTTCAATTTACTGCTACTTTTTTTTCTTTTTAACCATAAATCAAATTTCCCCATAAGGGGAATTTTATTTATTACTTTATTCCCTCACAAAAAGACCAACTGTAAAAAAAAAAAAAAACAAAAAGAACAACTGTAATCAAATGAGGCAAACATTCACCTCAAGATTTTATTGTCTTCATAATAAAACAAAAGATGAAGCTTAGAACTGGATCACTTGACCCTTTCCTCTTAATCTCCTCCCAGTTAAAAATGCTCATAAAAAAAAAAAAAAAAAAAAAAAAAAAAAAAAAAAAAAAAACTTGCACTCTCTTAGATCTGCAGTTGGGCTCGCATTCAGGCCTCGGCACAATCTTCTTCGTAGTTTTTGCCTTTTCCTGGAAAGCGGGCTTAGTCTGTCCACCAAGGTCACTCTGTTTGCTGTCATAGCACCGCTTTGCCTGAGCTTAACTTTCCCTTTTTATATGCTGCCACTTTGTAAGGCTAGTGCTTGCCACACTTCTTACACAAAATCTATTGGGTTTTAGGGACATTCATTTTTTTTGTTTATTTTTTTTTTCATTTATTTAACTTTATTTATTTTCATTTGATTAGAGAGGGACAGAGTCAGGGGGAGGAGTGAGAAAGCAAGCCACCATGTCCAGGACTCAAACCGCAGTCGGCCACGTGGGAGTCCAGCACCTTTAACCACCACACTACCTGTCGACCCAATTTTACGTATAATTATTATTATTATCATTATTTTAAATTTGCTATAGGGCATGTGTGATCTGGAAAGAGAGCGATAAAGCAAGCCACCAGGTTTGGGACTCAAACCATGGTCAGTCATGTGGGAGTCCAGTGCCTCTACCGCCAAACAAAGAAATTTTATTCTTTCTCTGGTACAGAGAGGCAGAACTGGGTATGATATAGAACATATTTAATAATTTTTATTTCTCAGTGGTCAAAAATGTTTGAAAAACATTACCTGCTGTATGTATGTGTGTTTTATCTGTGAAACTAGGTTATAGGTTACATAGGTTTTTGACCTCTCTCCATCAGAACCTGAATTTTTTTTTAAAAAAAAGAGTAATTTTTACTGTAGGACATGTGCTTGCCAGAGAGATAGAGACCGACAGAGAGATACAAAGTGAGAAGTCACCCCCCGGGGGATGGCCATGCTGCAATCCCTTCTCCTCCATTCTCCTCTCGGGATCTTGGGCACGCATGCACACATGACCAGGGTTAGTTTTAAGTTGCTGGGTGTGACATCACCATTACACCATCTGCTTGTCCCAAAACCTGAATTTTAATACATTCAGCAAGTGGCAGGGTCACAGGTATTGACAATGGGTACCTGAAGGTTTTCAAATCAAAGATCTCTGATGAGGCATTAATACCACAATGTCACATTGCTACTAAAAAAGTGAAAACAAATAATCTCACAATTACCCAAACAGAATATTATCCCAAATAAAACTTTTTTTGTTTAAAAAAACACTTTTAGAAGAAGAAATAATAAAAATTCTTTAAAGATGGAATATCTAGGGGCCAGCAGGTGGCATGATGGTTGAGGGTGCTGGACTCCCATGTGGCCTACTGCGGTTCGAGTCCTGGACCTAGTGACTTGCTTTCTCACTCTCCTTCTCTCTCTCACTGTCCCTCTCCGGTCAAATTAAAATAAATAAATAAAGTTAAATAAAATAATTATTAAAAAATGGAATGTCTAGTTTTTTAACTAAGAAATAATAAAAAAAATTTTTTTGAGAGTTGTTTTTTGTTTTGTTTTGTTTTGTCTTTTGTTTTTTGCTATAGGGCGCGTGCACTCGCCAGAAAGACAGACAGAGAGAGACAAAGAGACAGAAATCGAGAAATCATACCCCAGGGCCGATGGCCACACCGCAATCCCTTCCTCCTCCATTCTCTTCTCAGGATCTTGGGCACGCGTGCACACACGCCCAGCGTGAGTTTAAGCCACTGGGTCTGGGACTCGAACTATGGTTGACTACATGGGAGTCCAGCGACATAGCCATTACGCCAACTGCTGGTCCCGAAATAAATAAAATTTTTTAAATTTCAAATAAAATGCCTAAGTTTGGTAATCATAGGAAAGATGCTTACTTTATGGTTGAAGAGAGGTCTGTATGGTGGTTGTAAAAAGCATAAAATCAAGGACTCTGTTGATTAAATCCTAAATATTTCAAAATAACCAAGGTAAGGAATGTAAGCCTGATTTTTTTTTCTTCTACTGGCCACAATAGTGCTTTTCCACTAAAGCATCATGAAGATAGAAAAGGGAAGGAGGCAGGAAATGAAGATAAACCACTAGAACAGAATCTGCGGACAAATCAGAGGACGGAAACAATCTTAAGAGGTTTTCCTGTTAAGCACTTCCTGTTAGCCAGTGCTACATAACCAAGCCGTGGTTCTCCAACTGAGGGCCATTCTTTTTTTTTTTTTTTTTTTTTTATGGGTTTTTTTATAAAGGGCCTGTTCCGACAGAGAGAGACAGAGAGACAGAAAGCGAGAAATCACCCCCCAGGGGGGATGGCCACGCTGCAATCCCTTCTCCTCCATTCTCCTCTCAGGATCTTGGGCACGCACCCCCACGCACCGGCCATGAGTTTAAGCCACCGGGTCCAGGACTCGAATCACCGTCGACCACATGGGAGTCCAGTGACATAGCCATTACGTTAACTGCTGATCCCCAGCTGAGGGTTATTCTAACCATGCAAGGGGACTTACGAGGAGGACTGGGGCTGCCTGGAGGGTGCTCCACACAGTAACTGCCCACCAGCTCCTTGCAGTAACCCCTCTTCAGTGCACTAAGTCGTCCAATAGACACGAAAGTGCAGAGTCCTCTTTATTTGAAGGTGCTTTGACCACTTCATTTTGTCATGAAATTTAAATCTGTAATACGTTCTTCTCTAAAAGTACAGAAAGGAATTCTCTACCTGGGTTGGACTAAATATTGGGTTGTCGGAATAGCCATGACATGGTTTTCTATGCAAAAATGTGTCATGACTTTTTTGACTACCCAATAGCTAAAATTTCATTCTGGGACCAGCAGGTGGCATGGTGGTTAAGGCACTAGACAGTCCCACATGGTTAACTACGGTTTGCTTTCTCACTTTCTCCCTGTGTGTCTCTCTTTGTCAAATTTAAAACAAATGAATAAATAAATAATTCTTTAAAAAAGATTTTATTCCACTAATAAAAATATTTCATAGTGGGACCAGCAGTTAGCATAATGGCTATGTCGCTGGACTCCCACGTAGTCGACCGAGGTTCGGGTCCCAGACCCAGTGGCTTAAACTCACGCCGGGCGCGTATGCGTGCGTGCCCAAGATCCCAAGAGGAGAATGGAGGAGAAGGGATTGTGGCGTGGCCATCCCCTCTGGGGAGTGATTTCTCGCTTTCTGTCTTTCTATCTCTGTCTGTCTGGCAAGCGCACGAGCCCTATAGCAAAAACCTCTCAAAAAGTAGAAAAAAAATATTTAATTGGATCAGAGAGAGACTGAGACTGAGAGAGAAAGAGAGAGAGGAAAAGTGAGAAAGCAAGCCACCAGGTTTGGACCCAAACCGCAGTTGGCCATGTGGGAGTCCAGCCCCTTACCTACCACGTCCCCTGCCGACCCCGTGAATAGCCACTTTTAAACCCCACTTATTGTACCCCTTGGGCCCCAGACTGACTTGACTTTAAAGCCACTGCTTTAGATAACTCACTGTTATACACTGACTTTGTGGGGCCAGCAGATGGTGTGGTGGTTAAGGCACTGGACTCCCACATGGTCAACCACGGTTCAAGTCCTGGACCTGGCTGCTTACTTTCTCACTTTTTCTCTCTCTCGTGAGTGCATGTGTTCTATAGCAAATTTAATAATAAATACAATTTTAAAAACTGACTTTGTTTAGGATTTTTAAAAGAATTATTTATTTTAATTATTTAGTTATTCATTAATTTATTTTAATTTAACCAGAGAGAAACACAGAGCGAGAGAGAGAGAGTGAAAAAGCCACCAGGTCTGGGACTCAAACCATGGTCAGCCATGTGAGAATGTCTTTTAAAAAAATATTTCATTCCACTAATCCAGCGCCTTAACCACCACACCACCTGCTGGTCCTCATTTAGGATTTTTATGTATTTAGGAAAAATCAAAAGGAGAGACATTTTTCTTGGCCCCAGGGAATACATGAACCCTCACTGACTGGCATCTGAGCACTGCAAGCAAAAGCCTTCAAATTCTCAAGCTATAATTTGCTGCTGAGCGTAACAGTTCAGTTTTACAAGTCATCCTGCTTACAGTTTTATATAATAAAAAGGATCTTTCCTTGTAAACAGCAAAATTTCTGAAAGGAAAAGTTTAAGGTACTTAACGGTTCTCAAAAAGCAACCTGAAGAAATCATGGCCTTACCTTACGAAAGAACTGGACATGAGCCCGATGAATCCCACGGCAGCACCCACGACAGCTGTTCTCCGACAACCAAATATGTCTGTGAAGACGCTGACTATTGGACAGCAAAAGAAAATCATCCCCATGGACAGAGAACCTACCCATGCTGTAAAAGAAGGGAAAGGGACATTAGGACAGGGGAAATTGGATTTGCATTTATTCTACGGGATGTAATACACATTTACAAAAACGGTGATGTGGAAAAGGTATCGCCCAGACTGCCGAACAGGGAAGAAGTTGGAATAGGCTGTTAACAAGTCCGAATCACAGCCCAAAGCACTGGCTAATGCAAATTGTAATTGGCATAGCAATTATACACCTTTAATCAAATTCTAGAGAAGTTTGTCAAGTAAAAATTTTCATGTGATTCTAGCATTATATCACTACCTTGATATTTCTCTATGGGTTTAACCAACTTCTAATCTGTGGAAAGAAATTCACTGAAAAAAAATGATGAGGTAAGTTCAGGAATGTATTCCAACACGTGGTCAAACTGCAAAGAAATCACAGCCTCTGAAATCAGGATTGTGTGACCGTTAACTCCTAGAAGGAAGACGGGGATTATACACTTTAGACTACTAAGTGACCTGCAAACATAGTTACTGAATATTTACTTCACAATTATTTATAAAATTATAAATGTGTTCTACCCTTTTTTTCTGAAAGTATGTTATATTTCACAAAAAACACATACGAATCAGAAGTTGCAGGTTCCTGTTCTGATTCCATAAAAACACAAACACGAAAACCAAGGACAGAAAAATAAAGGTTGAGTACAAATAATAATTTTGTGCTAAAGACATACATGATCTCAAAAGATAGGAAATCTGAAGTTCTCCTCAAAAAGAAAAATACACTAATGGGGCCTACGACCGACAGTTGAATGCCCACCTCTACAAACAGCAGATGTCCTTGGACTAGTCGCTTTCCCTGAGTCTGTTTTATCTTGAAAATGCATCAATTACTCAGCTATATTTCTATTTTATTTCCTTTTTTTTTTTTATTTAGGTTTTTGTCATTTGGTGCATGCATTTACCAGAGAGAGATAGAGAGGGAAAGTGAGCAATCACCCCCCAGGGGGAATGTCCACACCACAATCCCTTCTCCTCCATTCTCTCCGGATTTGGGGCACTTGGACACATGTGCTCCATGTGATTTTCAAGCCACTGGGTCTGGGCCTCAAACCCAGGGTGATTTCTCACCTTCTCCTTTCTATAACCGGGCACATGCCCAATTCAAAAACATAAAAGAAAAAATAAAAATCTAATAATAAAACTAGGCAACTAGGAGAAAAACATCCTAACATTTTTTTGGATAAAAGCACTTTTACAATTAAGATGCTGCCACTAAAACAGTGGATAGATAACATCAAGAAATCCAAGAACATCTATTTTTATGTTGTAATGGATGTTCGTATAATTCAAGGTACTTTTTTAAACAAATAATTATTTAATTACTTTTATTTGTTATTATTATTTTTCAATTTGACCAAAGAGAGACAGAAAGAAAAAGTGAGAAAGCAAGCCACCAGGTCCAGGACTCAAACCATGGTCAGCAATGTGGGAGTCCAGCGCCAACTACCATATCACCTGTCGGCCCTAAATCAAGATACTTTCAAGAAAAACAAACAACAACAACAAAAAACTTCTGCACCAATCTTTACCAATTAGTGTGGACTTTGATTTATTGCTGCTCTAAATATTAAAAAATGACAGACCGGGGCCAGTAGGTGGCATGGTGGTTAGGGTGTTGGACTCCCACATGGCTGACTGTGGTGCAAGTTCTGGACCTGGAGGCTTGCTTTCTCACTTTTCCTCTCTCTCTGATGAGAGTATGAGCCCTATAGCAAATTAGAAAATAATAACAGATAAAATTAAATAATTTTTTACATTACAGATTTTATGTCTACTAACAGCAGAATATAATCAAACACAAGTTCTTATCTTGACTATCCTCTTTAAAATGTATTTGGTGGAGAAAGTTTTCCCATCTTGGATGACCGCTCCAGTAGGCCCACATGATTCTTTTGGTCACTGCTAAATAACAGAAAGGCCAACCTACAGTCACTTCAGATCACACACCCATCTTCACTTGGCAATCAAATCCTTTTCCCAGCCCCAGGGAAGCTGGGAAGGGATCAAGATGAGCCTTTTTGTCTCTTCTGTAACCCTCTCTCCCCATCCCTAGCTGTCAGTTCTCTCCAAAATGGGCAAGGGAGCGAGCAGGGCGTGGGGCAGGAAGGCGTGGTCCCTTCCCAGCCTTGAGCGGGTGCACTTGTGTAGGTTCTGGAGTCTCCCCTCAGAGTTCCTTCTGGCTATAGCTCTGCGGAAACCATCATTCATTCTCAGCTAGGCTATTTGGCTGTCACTCAAAGGATTCACCGTTGGAGATGCGCTGCCCTTCCAGGTGGTCTCCTTCAGAACAGCCCAGGGCTACTCCTCTCCCCCAGGCTGGTCTCTGATCTGCGTGTAGGTAAATTCCGACCCAGCTTCCTCCTGTACCGCTCTTGCTGTGGATGCAGTTAGCCAGCTACAGTCCTTCCCCCGGGGATTTCGCAGGGAGTCTGATCCCAATCCCTGTGCCCAGGGCTGTGAAGCGGGTTCCTTACATCTAAGTGGTCCCTCTAAAGCCCCTCTTAATAGATACAAGTAAGAAAGCATACACCTCCCACTTCCCCCGTGGAGTGGGGCGGGGAGGGGGGACTACAGCATAATTTTCTCAAGACTCCATCATTCATTCTCAGCTAGGCTATTTGGCTGTCACTCAAAGGATTCACCGTTGGAGATGCGCTGCCCTTCCAGGTGGTCTCCTTCAGAACAGCCCAGGGCTACTCCTCTCCCCCAGGCTGGTCTCTGGTCTGCGTGTAGGTAAATTCCGACCCAGCTTCCTCCTGTACCGCTCTTGCTGTGGATGCAGTTAGCCAGCTACAGTCCTTCCCCCGGGGATTTCGCAGGGAGTCTGATCCCAATCCCTGTGCCCAGGGCTGTGAAGCGGGTTCCTTACATCTAAGTGGTCCCTCTAAAGCCCCTCTTAATAGATACAAGTAAGAAAGCATACACCTCCCACTTCCCCCGTGGAGTGGGGCGGGGAGGGGGAACTACAGCATAATTTTCTCAAGACTCCTCACACAATGCTCCTTGACTCATAAACAGCTTTCTAATGCATTTTAGAACTTCTAACTGGGTTTTTGAACCCCTACTTTGAAAAGGCATACAAAATATCTAACGTTTGAAATTCACAAGATATAATCGTGATAGATATAATTGTGCCTCAGCTGAAATTCCAGTAGAATATTGTTAAAATAATAATTAGCTGGGGCTAGCAGGTGGCATGATGGTTGGGGTGCTGGACTCCCACATAGCCAACTGTGGTTCAAATCCCAGACCAGGCAGCTTGCTTTCTCACTTTCTCTCTCTCTCTCTCTCTGATGACTATATCAAGTTAAATAATAATAACAGTAACAATAATAAACAATGAATAATTCAAAAAATTAGCAATAAATAAAGTTGTATTGGTAACTAAATTCAAGCAAAAATTAATTTTTGAATGAATAATTACTTGCCACTGCAACTACTAAAATTTCTTGTTTTATAAAGCTCTACCAAGTCACCCAAAGAATCCCAGGTCTCCCAGGTTATGATACACACAATAAACAAAGTGGACTGTTGCTCTCCCACCCCTTCTGAATCTGACTGGGAGCATTCATAAAAAGGACCCAATTGAGCTAGCTATTGTAATGACAGTATATTTGACAAGCTTACAATATGTCACTTGATCTTCAAAACTCCAATAAGGTAGGACTTTTCTGAAGTTCATTAAACTACTGAAAAATTGAAATATTAGTCACCATACCCAGCAGGGTAATATTTTTATCTAAAAAGTGCAAACTAGCCCTAGTTCCTATGTGTCATTCTATCAAACACCCACGCTGGATTTCCTAATACTGTTGACGAAATAAATCTTTTCTAATGACTGATGTGGAAATACAACGGCAGTCTCTCTTTGACAAGCTTACAATATGTCACTTGATCTTCAAAACTCCATAAGGTAGTACTTTTCTGAAGTTCATTTAACTACTGAAAAATTGAAATATTAGACACCATACCCAGCAGGGTAATATTTTTATCTAAAAAGTGCAAACTAGCCCTAGTTCCTATGTGTCATTCTATCAAACACCCACGCTGGATTTCCTAATACTGTTGACGAAATAAATCTTTTCTAATGACTGATGTGGAAATACAACGGCAGTCTCTCCCTTCTTATTAAAAGTGCCTCTATGTTCTATCCTAGGCTGTTGAGAATATGAAAACAACTAAGAGATTTCTGTACCTCCCAATACTTTTTTATCTAGTAACCTATGTGCTAACAAAGGTCCAATCAGAATACCAGATAAAATGTCTTAAAAAACAGATACCAAAGAATGCGTAAGAAAGGCTTCAGAACACACTTGTATACTCTACTTGTATACTCTAAGTGTGGTATATGTCTGATGTTGTAGAGAGACATATCCAAGAAGCTGTGCTGAGAAATCTTTCTCCAGGCTGGCTCTCTGGCACAGTGGAAAATGCATCACTCAAGAAAAGCTGGATCCCACATGGCAAAATCCCCAGCTCAGGCAGCCTGAAACATAGCAGGTCCACATGCAAGTTCCCAAGATCCGACAGGCTAAGAGGACTAGGACCAGGGTGCACAGTATTACCACACCTTGTGGAGGGTACTCCCTTCTCTCTCTCTCTCTTGAGGTTTTTGCCATAGGACGTGTGCAATTGCCAAAGGAAAGAGGGAGAGGGAAAGTAAGAAATCACCTGCCAGGAGGTCATGCCACAATCCCTTCTCCTCCATACTACTCTTGAGATCCTGGGCATGCATACACACATGACCTGCATGATTTTCAAGCTACCAAGTCCAGGACTCAAACCACAGTTGGCCATCTGGGAATCCAGCCACCCTAACCATGATCTCACCTGTTGGCCCCCTTTCTTTCTCTCTCACTTCCACGTTTCTGTGCACATGCTGCATCATAAAGAAACACACACACAAAACAGGAAGCAGGCCAGTGCAGTGGTACAGCAGTAACAATGCTCCAAAAATGCTAAACCCACATGG